CCCAGGGTTTTCTGCCAAAACCCCTCTAAAAACCTCAGCACAGTTAAATGTTCTTGTAAATGCAACTAGTGTATAAAAAATGCAAATTATTGGAATATATTTAATTATCCATTCACATTAAGGAGAGGTTATAACATCACGAGCCATATAAAGTCAGATTTAAGTGCTCATTAATCAATCGATGAATGACGTTACGAATTATTGATAAAGCATAGCATCGTTAGAATTGTGAGACTGTGGCTGTCCGTCATCACTTTCAGAAAATTATGGGATGAATGTACAGGTTGTGACTGTGAAACTATGGCAGAGTGCAATCAAAATTCTCCCACGTCTCTGTGCTATCATGGGGTCACCGCAGTCAGTCCTACAGGATCAGCACCTGAAGAATGCAACAGATATAGAAAACAAAAGTTCACAGTGTCAAACCTTTTTAAATCCATCAGTACCATTTGTTACAGTAGGAAAAATGAGGGTTTGAAACCCACAGTGGATAGGCCTCTTTTTTCTGTCAATCACTGATTTAGCCAAAAGCGAAACCAATGGGAAGTGGGATGACAACAGGAAGCTGTAACCCCGCCCACCATGGGTTTCAAAGGCACTTGTTTTAACTTAAGATTTTCCCCATTACTATTTTTTTTATTCCCAATTCAAGAGGGCTTTAAATATTCATAATCTTTTCAATTCCTCAGTACAGTGCTGTAACAATTACATTTGTTGTAATATTAAACTTAAGTCCCTATCACACACTTAACTGATGCTAAATTTTGGCCTGATGTTCTGTGGCATTACGGATTAGAGTTCAGATGGCTGCAAACCAGAACACATGTTCGTCAGACAACCATGAACTCAGGCCTTTACTGAGGTGGTGATCACAATCGCAAACAGTGGAATACTAGAGTTACACAGAATGGGCACACGGTAAACTCCAGGTCCCAAGATGGCATCTGTTGTATTTTCTACAGAGCACTGAGTATAGTTCAGAAAACAAGACAGACCCACCGAATTGGAAACTTTATCTATGTATGTAGCACTTCAGATACCTTTCAGCTGGGAGCAGCAGGGCATTCTGGCTGCCCCAACAGCACAAGGGCTCACACAGCTGCTCTTACGCCACTCAGCGCTGTCAAGACACCCACCACGCGTTGTCAGCCCGTTGGGTGACACGTCTACTCCTGGAGTTTCCATCCATCCATCCATCCATCCATCCATCCATCCATCCATCCATCCAGGGAGCCAGGGTCACACAGATGTCATTACGGCACTTCATGTTACACCATGGAAAGACTAGCGAGCTGCCTGCTGATGTCACCAGAGCATCGCACAGACTTTCCCGGGGGCAGGTACTAGAATGGGTGGTGGCTTTGGGCACATTATACCAACGGGGGGGAGAGGGGGGTTCTATTAGGTGAATTTTGCGTGATCGTCAGTTGTCAAGAAGCAGAACTTAGAACCTCAAAAGAGGGGAAGCACATTCAATCATTCGGGCAAAAGGGTCAGGTGCTCAGGCTCCCCCCACACAAGTCACCATCTTTTTATGGGTGACCGGTCACCATGGAGATAACAGAGCTTGTTGCGACTCCCTTCTCCCAAAACAGCAGCTCTCCTGGGGGCTGACTCACCACCGCTCCCCTTTTCAACTTCACTGCTCTGAGAAAACCTCTACTTTGCTCTTTCTGTGGCACAACTTTGCCAGTGCATCTTCCGGCAATAAATACCACATTCAGGCGTTATCTTTTAATAAAGCACCACACTTTAATTTACCTGCGGGTGCCGAGTGTTTATGAGAGTCACCAAAACCCTTCCTTTGTTGTGTCTCGATAACCATTCTCACAAAGAGTGCTACCGTTAAAAGTGTCCCCAGAGGAACATTTCCACTCATAGGAAAGTTCCGCTTCACTCCCAAAGTGCTCTTGAGAGAGGGTATCTTCTCAGAGTCACGGTTGTTCGAGCTCAGCTTAGGGACATATCTTAAACATGTGATAAAATTTTGTGAGCATAAGCAAATGTAATAAAGTCAGTGTTACAAGGGTTACAAAACGGGGGACCTCAGACCCCAGAGAGAGTGGATCAGCATGCGGAGAAAAGCGATTGCCTGCTTGCTGTCAGGAGGGACCACACTATACATATTCATGGCAACCGCAAAGCCTTGCTGGAAATGTGCCACTGAAATCAGATTTAAGTGCTCTCCTACTGTCACCATTCATCAGCGCGCACCGTATCGCCTCTGTATGTAGAGCATGTCGGGTGCTGGGGGTGGGGGGGGGGAGCTGCTGCAGTGTGACCGGCTCACCCCAAAGGGGTGCAACATCCCAAAATAAATAAATAAATAAAATCCCCTCCTGAACTGGTTAGTGGCGATCCGCTTATCCCAAAATACACAAGCGAATGCAGCCGGTGAAATCTTATCTGGCGGGAAGAAACTTGAAAAAGGGAGGAAGTGGGAACAGCAGTAGATTTTAGGAAAACACTCCACTGACGCCCTCTGGGTGTAGACCGCCCTCTGGGTGTAGACTTCCCTCTGGGTGTAGACTGCCCCCTGGGTGTAGACCGCCTCGCTACACATTCCCACTTTACTACACACACAGGCTCCGGCTTAAACCAAACGGCCCCCTCCTCATTAGCACTCCAAATCTTTCCTTATTACAACACGAAATCAATTTACCTGCCACTAATTACTTACTGTCAGATTAAATAAAAACGAAATTAGCAGGATGTCTACAAACCAGAATCTTTATCAAAGGCTTAACCGGGTCAAAGTTTGCCATCTTCTCTAAATCAGCCCGCCTGCTTCACGTTCAGTCACACGTGTGCTGAACATGGACACCTCCCATGAAATGCGCCCCGGACCTTTAACCCCCCCCCCCCCGCCACTCGTGTGCGGAATCCTGTGACTCCGCCTATCACACACACGCTTAACTCCACACACCCTCCCCGGCAGGTTCATCGTACTCGTCTCCCTTGTGACCAACGTTTGTATTTCCGCCGAGAATACTACATCTCCGCTCTGGTTAATTACTTAACGAGCTTGATAAAAAACTGAGCAACATAGCAGGTGCAGGACCGTGCACATGGCCCTCGAAATGTTACCCCCCCTCGCACTGGCAAAGCACTGAGCCTGATACGACAAACACAGGCATAGAGAGAAATGGGCAGATTTATGTGTGGGACGTTATTCACAGCCAAAGACCTCTCGAGTCAGCATTCCCTGCCCTCCACCACACACACACACACACACACAAACACACACACATGCACAGATCTCACACACAAAGGCTCTTTTACGGCAGCATTTAGGAATGAGGCAGCGTGTGTCTCCTTCCAGCTACATGCTGAGTATCTTCAGCGAGTGACATCACCTTTTTCCTCAAGAATCGTCCCGGCAACGACTAATATTCATAAACGGCCCTTTAGCTGAAGGTGACATGTGACCCACTGTTCCTGGAGAAGTAATAACAGCGACCCAAATCGCAAATGAACCCAACCTAGGCATGTCCTTCATGTGAGAACACATCTGGGTCTCCTGCAAGGATGTACCTTGCGTGTACCTGCTGAAGCAACGTACCATAACATCAAACCACACACTCATTTCGGTATGTGGGGGTCAACTGCATTTAACCCACACTAACAGAAGAAACAAAGGAAATGCAGATCAGCTTTAGTAAATCTCACAGACTCTCAGTTACTACATGAAACAGAGAAATAATGGACCACATCAGAAGTAGCTGTTACATCAGCAAAGACAATAACCATCAGGGTTCGTAATATTCCTGTGCAAAGATTATGTTCCTTTTTTGTATGCTGATAAACAGAGGTGGAGAGTTCAGGTCCAGAAAGTAAAAATCCAGATCAAGATTTTGTTTCAACCAACCAGCTGAGTACTCTATGAATGTGACACTTTATACTCAACTGATTGGTTGAAATTAAATCTTACAATAAAATAAAATAAAAACACATAATTAGCTCCTGTAACATACATCTTGAGGCTTTAATAATTTTAAATGTGTAAAAAATTCCTACATTCCTACCATACAGGGATGCATACATTCCTCTTGACTTTTGGCTAATACCCCTGTAATAGAGTCCACCTTATGTCCCCAGAACCTACGTTCTCTTATTGAATGGTTCTAAGAAAGAGCTCTACGGTTCCAAGGCCCTAACTTTCGGAATGAGTTTATATTTTCTCGACTTAAGGTTAGGGGTTAGGGTTAGACCACATGAGCCTAACTGTGACCCTAACAGACCCTGTCATAAGTCTCCTGAATATATCACACTGACAGAACACAGGGAACATAGACTCCCTCGCTTCACATTCGCTGTTCACAAGTTTGACACATTTGGACGGGACAAACGCTGCCGTTTTCACACAAGTATGTCATCTTTGCCCCAGAGACATCTGGCCCTACTTTGCAGACAGAGAACCGAGCAGAAAAGAAACAGACGGCTTTTCAAAGCAACAATTACAAGTGACTTTGTTGTCAAACAGATGCTGAGGCACAACAGTCATGCAAATATTTGTTATAGATACATTCCTGATATTTTGGAGATCAGAGGTTATAAAACTCAGCTGTGAATGCAGAATGACTAGGATGTGCCCAAAGTCAGTCACAGCCCTAACAGAACAAACACTTACTCACTCGCTCTACATGCTCACTACCTTCATTCCTGACTCATTAACCCCGGCTCCAAACACTCCTTACACCAGGGGTCTCCAACTCCGGTCCTGGAGAGCTACTATCCAGTAGGTTTTCTATCCTACCTGGTTTCTGATGAGCCACACCTGTTCTCAGGTAAATACCAGGAACAGGTGTGGCTCATCAGAAGCCAAGTAGGATAGAAAACCTACTGGATAGTAGCTCTCCAGGACCGGAGTTGGAGACCCCTGGCTTACACATATCATAAAAACCTACAAAGTTACATATTTCTCAATAAATATAAACTACAAAACAACAATGTTTATTTACACAGAAACTCAGTACATGTCTTCATGTTTCCTGGTTTGAATGTTTTTTGGTTACTAGCTAAATACCTTACATCAGGTATTTAATTAAACGAAAAATACTGTCTATGGAAAAAGGGATCAGCACAGTGGTGCAGTGGTTAGCACTGTCGCCGCACACTTCTGGAACCTGGGTTCGAGTCTCCACCATGGCTCTGTGTGTGGAGTTTGCATGTTCTCCTCATGTCGTCGTGGGGTTTCCCTTTGGGTACTCTAGTTTCTCCTCACAGTCCAAAAACATGCTGAGGTTAATTGGAGTTATAAAATTGCCCATTAGAGTGTCTGACTGAGTGTGTCCTGTCGTGGGTTGGCGCCCCATCCTGGGGTGTTCCCCGTCTTACGTCCGTAGGGTCCGTACCCCCCCCGCAACCCTGAATAGGATAAGCGATTACAGGAAATACATGTAGATGGGATCAGTAAATCTTATGGGTGAAATCAATGTACATCCTCACAGTTACTTCAATGAATATGTATTAACATAACACATGAATTGTAAAAAAAAAGTCATAACTCACAGTCTATTTCACACTGCTGGTTTTGAAAGGTTATAGAACACAGAACAAGCTGTTGTTCAGTAACAAAGCAGGACCCGTGTCATCTAACACCTTGAAAGAAGCAAAAAAAACAAAAAAAAGAGATTTTTAGAACACGTTAGGCAGCTGTAAGATGAAACACTTTCAGAGAGAGAACAGCACATGAATGCTTTTGGCCACTGATGCATAGGGCATAGGGTTTCGCTATGAAAATGTTACAGTACTCCGGTGCTTGTCACATTGAGACACATGCAAGCACTTCCTTCCTCTGCACCATGTCCGCTCACGGTTTCCTCCACCACAGGTGACATCACGAAAAATTCACAGACGACCAAGGTGATGTCATTTTGAACAAGCAGAGTGCTGGAAGGGGGGGGGGGGGGGACAGAGAAACGATTTCAGCACAGCCTTCCGTGAACCTAGCTGGATGCTAGCCCAGAAGCTAAGAGTTAGCCTGGAGGGGTGGAGAAGTCTGCACTGATTTTTAATATACAACAGTGTGTTAGTGTTTACCAGGGGGACGCTTTGGTCTCTAATCCTACTGTTATACTACAAAATTGCAACAGAATCAAGTTGCTTTTTTTCGCTGCATACAATGTACTGAATCTAACAGTAAGAATCTCTTTAAGCATGACAGTCCAATGAAGGTAGAGAGCAAAATCTTTTATGGATTAAAAATAAGACTGACAGCAGTCACACAATGTGTATATATATGTATCTCTCCAGTCTACTCAAAATTCTGATTTCCGACATTCATAGTTTATTTTTAAAATGACCCAGACACTGACGATAATTGTTGAAAATGTAGCATCTTCAGAAGGGAGACGCGTTGAGTTTTTTGGGTCACCCAGACTGCGGGGTATTTCGAAAGGCCGACGAACGATTTGTTCCTAAGGAACAATCTGCCGGTCTTTACTTATCTATGAATGGCATTTCCGTGGGAAACGAGTAACACTGCCGTGCCAAAAGGTGTCACAGGAGATTACTTTTATGCAATATTATACACACAAACACCCACACACCAGTACCTAGAGATGATTTTAAAATAATATCACTTTATGCTCAGTACATTTGAATTAAATGGAAACACCAGTGAGTATAAAGGGTGACAATGGCCTCGTCTGGCCACTGCGCACTGGTGTCAGCCGGCTGGCAGTGCGACCGTGACCTCACTCTTGCTGCCTCAGCCTGGTTTCCTTTTACCTCATTCTCCGGTCACCCTGGGCCACAGCAACAAACTGCAGGTTCCTGTCACAGAGACCCAGCCCTGCCTGTCTGGAGAACAGCAGAGACTTTAAAATATGCTACCAGCACATGAAACCCATGTTCAGATCTACAAGTGCAGATGTGCCGATTCTAGAGGGTATATTAAACAAATACATTCTCCTTGGAACACATTACAAGACTGAAACAATAATTCTGCCACATTGACATTTGTTTCTGTCCTTGTCTAAGGAGTCTTTTTTCCCCAGATACTGTCTCTCTTGATGCAGCTGCTAGTTTCAGGCTTGCTGTCAGCACTTGTTTTATTGCCACAGTGTCGCATTGGTGAACTGCGGCCCAAGAGCTATCGATCGACTACGCAAGTTGAAACCTTAACCCTATTAGCATGAGCTTAGAGCCGCATTCTCCACACCGGCAGCAGGGGTGCAACACTCTCCGCACGTCTTAAGTTCTGCTGATCGGCCTGGATTTTTCAAAGAAAACGCGGGAGGTGTTGTGTTGAAAGGGCACCCAGTGGTCATTCGGACCGACCAACAAAGGCTTGGATCACAAAACGACGGACCAGCAATGCTGCGGAAGATCGAGTTTTCCTGACCGGTTACTTCTTGAGCCGTCCTAAAGGAGGGAAACCTGCCTTAACAGCGGAAATTGACACTCGTATGAAAAGTTAGGAAAGTCTGGCGCTGCAAAAGGAAACTGGACTTCTGTGAATAAATTGTCTTTAAGCAAAAAAAGAAGCTGCTTGGCAAACAGATGCCTGATAAAATGTGCCTCATTCTCCCTTCTGCCTTCCTCTAAAACAGATTTCAATTTCACATTCATGAGCTCTGTAATAAATACAGCAGGAAGTACATTTACTTAGCAGAAACCTCTATCCAAAGGGTCACACGACTGAGGAAACTGAATCAGAGTCCCTGCAGCAAATGGAGGTTAAGGGTCTGGGGCCCAAGGGTGAAATCACTGCACCAGCCCTGGGGATTTGAACCAACAACCTCCCAATCACAGGCACAGCATCCTGACCCACTGAGCTACACCCCACATGTACATTTTGATTTATATGTGTGCGTGAGTATTAAGTCTTCATAGCTATACAAACAAGAACGGGGGGGTGGGGTGGGTGCTTGTCTTGTTCTGCTGGCCTGCCCCTAGCCGTAAGGCCAGCAGGGTGGCCTGTAGCGGCTGGAGGGGCTCTGTGAGGTAGCGCCTCATCGCTGGCCCCGGATAGACGCAGCCTCAAGCTTGTCAGCACAGCCATCAGCGGCACCACCAAAAAAAAAACGAGCTAATGCGGGAGGCGAACCCACCAGAACAGGACGACACCTCAGCACCCGCTGTGTCGCAGGCAAACGAGCACAAAGCGACCAGGAAAAGTACACGGTGACACTGCGCTCCTCGCCGAGCTGGACACAGATATACGAGAAAACCAGAAACAAAAGATTTACGGCTCACGAAATCCACGAGAGAATCAGGAGTGCCAGCCGGGATGTTTTAATGCAACACAAAGTGCAGTTACATAAAAGAAAATTATAAAGAATAGATAATGTAAGAGGGGAAAATCGTACCATCCACAACATAGACAAGCTTGTCTGTTGCAGTTGCCTTAGTAGATAGCCTCACTGGCAAAGGTATCACTGCCAGCTCTCTTCCTTCAAATCTCAGGCTCTCAGAAAAGTCATTAAAGGTGAATATTTTAGGTGTTTGCCAGACACCAAGTTACCAAGAATGGAAAAATGTTACCTTGGATTACAGCAGCGCACTTTGTTTGGATGCATTGTCATTAATATGAACCTACATGATCACTGCAATGACAGTTAGACTCACATGCACTATAAACCTGCAGATATGGCCCCCAGACCTGTGAACTTATTCGGGGTAACATTTTGCACTCTGGTTTATTGATCAGAACCCTCCAGAAAGTCTCAATGCTGTATCAGCGAATGAAGAGATTAACTATCGGTTCTATTCGCTTTAAAGCATCAATTCTCTCGCAGACAAGCCTAAACGTAATCGGAAATTCAGCTGATTACCCAACATTACCAGCTAGAGAACACGCCAGGCTCTCTGACAATCGGCTGTGCATCATTCGACATCGCTGCAGCTTCCAGGTTGGCAAATGTAATTTCATCTCCCCTTGTTCGTGAAATTAGATCATCTGAGCAGTAAATAAAGCCTGGAACCAATGGCGATACTGAAAAGCGGGTGTTCAGCCTGATAAAAGATCAGGGGCTGCAGAAAACAGGTCAATGCCACAACACACATATATACCCATTTACTTCAGCTGCCCAAAAGCACATCTAAGCTACAATGAGACATGCCCACTAAGTGCTAGTCAATTACCAACTTACAAGGGAAAAATCAGACTGACTCTGCTCTAGGCTGACATTACCAGGAACCAAAGTGTTCAGGTAAAATACAGCAATCAGTCCAGAAGAGGAGACCCCAGACCGGGCCATCTGTCCACAAGTCCAAGGCTTCTGCTAGATGATCCCTATAGACTCCTGGACACACAAGAAACCAAAAATGACAGAAAATCAGACACCAGCGCAGAGAACTGAGACATCAGCGACGAGAAGCTGGAAAAGCTTCATCAAAACCTGGAGATGAAACACCGACAGGATAAAACCACAAACTAGACCCCCAACGGAACAAAGTCTTACGCTGAAAAAACAACAATGAGGAGAATGAGCAACACTGGTCAGCCTAAACAATATTTGGTGCCAGCTACTTTGAAGGCTACTTTGAAGCCTGGTCAATCACAAAACATGGACCTCAATGCAACATGGACCTCAATGTAACATGGACCTCAATGTAACATGGACCTCAATGTAACATGGACCTCAATCCAAATTACCGTCCATTGTGATGGGGATTTAAGAATGTTCAACAACATCCTGTAGTATACGGCAGTAACCAGCCACCTTATCATTGCTGACTTGCAAATATATTCTCTGTCTCAAGACTTTCTACACGTCATACAAGATAAAAGAGTGTTTGTTTTCCATTATGTTTGTCGACATTGATATACTGAACTGTAGTGAATTCCCAGGGAGGTTTGGTAGCTCAGTAAGCAGCCCTAGCCTGTACCTATGTAGCAGTTAGCCTGTACCTATGTAGCAGTTAGCCTGTACCTATGTAGCAGTTAGCCTGTACCTGTGTAGCTACAGTATAGGGGTCTGAATCCCACACGTTACAGCTAATAAGTACTTCTAAATGCCCATAGAGTGTGAGTGTGTATGTGTGGACTGGCAACCTACCTGGGGTAGAGCCCAGCCTTGTGTCCTACCCTGCCTGGGATGGGCTCCAGGCCCCCTGACCAGAATGAGCAGTTAGAAAATGAACAGATGCATTAAACTCCCCAAGAACAGACACTCACCAAAACAATAAGGTCAGTTTCTGTCAACATGCTGAATAATGCAGAGATTGCAGCAGAAACATTAAAAATCTTATGGCAGCTCAATCTCCTCTTATAAACAAACATCGCAGTGTCCTCGTCTGACCCCCCCCCCCATCACCAGCGACACACAGGCTCACACACTCAAACCAGGGCACCATAGGACTGGAAAGAGCAGAGATCAACTAGAGATTAGAATGATTTACTCCAAATGTCAAAACAAATGATGTTAGAGTCCGACCGCGAATCGCGAAAAGTCATCTGCAACAAAGTCACAACTTATAAGGAACAAGCCAGACCTGTGAAGCACACACTGCAGCCCCCAGTAAGAGAAACACACACACACACACACACACAGACCTGTACTCATATCTTTGTGGGGATCGTCTATGCATTTCTATGGGCAAAACCCTAATCCCAACAATGACGACCTTAACCCCTACCCAGCCCTAGCCTT